AGCGGCTCTGGCCCGGAATGAGCGGTTCTGACCCGGAATGAGCGGCTCTGACCCGGAATGAGCGGTTCTGGCCCGGAATGAGCGGTTCTGACCCGTTTCTCATGCTGTTTGTTCCACCAGTGAACTGCGCTGAGTTCCTGTCGAAAGACGAGAGCCAGATCCCCGTGGATGAGGTCTTCTTCTACCGGTGAGTCTCTCGGCGGCTCCGGTCCGGTCCAGAACCGATCCGACCCGCCTAACCTGAACGGGTTCTGGTTCTGCTCCGCAGCTTCTTTAAGAAACGGCAGCAGGAGAATAAGAACCGGCGCCCACGGGCCGACGGCGACAACGAGAGCGTGGAAGACGTCGATGACGACGAGTTTGAGAAGGTTCTGGGTAAGACGGAACCAGAACCGGGCTCGTTTTTCCTGCAGTGAACCAGAACCTGATCAGAACTCTGTGTGACCCAAACAGATTCCTGTGAAGGAGACTCGTTTTTCATCGACATGCCGGATGATGACGACCTGGACTTCGCAGGGTGAGTTCTCCAGACGGAACCAGTCGTTCGGGTTTCAGTCAGCAAACGGGTTCTGATCCAGTTCAGGGGAATTGTGTTTAGGAATGTCAGGACCACTGGTGCCGGTCCATTTGGCCCAGATCAAAACCAGAACCGGACCTTTTCCCAGAGTCTAGGAGCTCCTGAACCGGGACCAATTTACCAAACTGGGTCCAGAATTCCAGAACCAAATGAATTGGAGCAGAACTGCAGCACCTGCTAACTAGCATTAGCTAACATGCTACATAAGGCTAAGCTACTAAGCTAGGCGTCATTTTGACGCTCCTGAGATCTTAAAGGGAAAGAACTTTATTTCCATTAATCATATTAACTGACTTTTCCTGTTTCTATATTTCCTTCATTTTCACGTAGTTTTTAAAATAAAAATAAAAACGTATAAAATAACTATGGATCATTTTACCTCGATCTCCCAAAGCCGTCACTTGTTCGACGCTCTGGTTGTTTATCTGCTCTGTAGCAGAGAGAGCAGCTCGGCTTTATTTACTTTGTCGCTTGGAAAAATAGTTTGAACACGTTTCTAAGTAAGAAAGCATGGCTATCGAGCAAGTTTTATGGGAATTACAGAGTATTTCTTCACTGAAAGAAGAGCAAAACACTGCTCTGGAGGCTTTTCTCAGAGGAAAAGATGTTTTTGCTCTTCTCCCGACTG